TTTGTGGACTTTTGTGGAACTTTCTGGCTCGGGCACCATAGACCTCCATTATTTGAATGTCAGCAGACAGCAAGAAGCCTCCCAGATCTCCAGATGCATTTGAGATATCAAAAAAGTACTCCAGAGTTTTGTTCAGCATGGGGGTGAGTAGAAAATGAAGGCTAATCGTGTTTTGGGTGTACTATTCCTTTAATGTCTCTGCCTGCTAAAAATTATTATCATTATGTTGAGCTAATTTCATTAATGTATTTAAATAAAAGTGCTGTATAAGACAGAGATTCAATTTCAATAAATTAGTTTGACTGTTTTGTTAGGGCATAAAAAATAAAAAGCTTTATGTTTTCCAACAACATGTATGCCAAGAATACAGCAGGAGATAACTGTTGTCAAGGTTTGGTTGAGGTTTTGAGGACCCAAATGCAGAGGCAAGGAGGCAGAGGTGAGTTCTTGTAGTTTTAATGGAGTGTTCACAACAGGTAACAGAGGTAGGAATCCACAGTCCCAACACAAAAATGCAAACAAATTAGAATCATGGAGTTGTCAGGGAAAACATGCACAAGGAGACAGGGAAAGACGGGGAAAGATGAGGAACCAGCACTGAGGAACTGCGCAATGACAGTATTTATGGGAGACTGAACAAAGACAGGACTAATGAGCTGATTGGGAGCAGGTGTGAACAGAGGCTTCTAGAAGGAGCTAGGGAAAAGGAGACCAACACCAGAGGGCAAGCAAAGAAAAACCTAAGAACTCAAATATATCCCGAAAACACCAATATAGCTAGAAAACAAAGAAAAAAATGGATCAACGTCAAACTGAAAGCTCACAGAAAGCTCACAGAAAAAAAGATTCAAACATGTAAGAAAAATTCTGAATCCTCCCACTATGAAATTTCTCCTTTTGTTTAATTCTCAATTTTTTTTGTTTATTTCTACTTATTGATAGTCTGATCTTGCTGGGATCCATCAGTGAAGACCACTGAGTGAATGAAATAGTTTACAGACAAAATCGATCAAACATGTAAATGATAAATGCACTGTAGTAATACAAATACATCAAGCTGCATATTGCTTTATTTTGCCAAGAAAGCTGTAGTGGGAAAAAAGTATTCACCCTAGTTAAATAAACGGAGATCGATGGATTTCACTCAGTCGGCACTTTATTAATATCTCTGCAAAGAGAGAACAGTTCATCATGCTGCCCTTATGGCACAGCATTCTGCCCTGTTCTGCCTGAGCAGCGTTCATTCCCCCTTACTTACAACAATGGAAAGTAGTCAGAGTCAAAACAAATTTCAGACACTTTGGTTAAACAGTAACATGTTATGAATAAACCTTGAGAAAGAATCTAGCTTGTTTTGGGAAGAAGCTATGTCTGGTCTACGTACAAACACACTCATGCAGAGAATTGTGTGGCCTTGCAGGTGAAACAGACTGACTGAAAAATTTTATAGTGTGTAAAAAGGATAAATTAATACATGAAATAAGAGAAATCTAAATTTTCCGAGAATGGAGTGTATTAAAATGGGGAATTTATCAAAATCAGCAGATCAGACAACATAATCTTATGGTGTTTCTTATTACCAACATTCCTTTGATTGAAATGTTGTGCCCCTATAACTGGGATAAAAACCTGTTTGCACCTGTTAGTTTGCTTTCTGCTTTTGATGAACTGAAAACAACTTCTAAATCTTTTGATTTCTTCTGATAACTTCATTTTTCTTCCTTAAAATCTTGTCTCTGCAGGTACTATGCTATTTGCTGCAAGCCCCTGGTCTATCGGAACAAAATGACACCCATGCGAGTGGCTTTAATGATTGGTGGCTGCTGGGTCATCCCCACTTTCATCTCTTTCCTTCCCATCATGCAGGGCTGGAACAGCATCGGCATCGACCAACTGGTGAGTTGCATTAGTTTCAGATGCAGCTAGAAAAAAACACATTTATGAGTTAAAGTTATCTTTATACATTGAAATATTGTTGAATATGTTCAAAATCTCAGTGGGTGATTTTCACTGCTTAGTGAAAATGACTACAGGAGACAAAGAAATTGCGAGGGGAAAGAAAATCAATAAAAAGAGACACACACATACAAGAAGTATTTCAAAACAGTATTTGCATAAACGGCTAGTGTGCACATGCAGCTATGAGATAAATTGTTGTCCCATGGAGCTTTGTTTACAAGATTGAAAAAATGCTTCACATGTTGTCATTAAAATTATAAACATGGCAACAACTAAGATACTGACAACATACTGTCTGTTTTTGTTTCTTGACTAAAACCAATGGCAACAGTCCTATTTTATATAAGATATAGATTGGTCTTTAAAGCCAAAGGTAGCCCTTTTTTGTTTGTTTGTTCTTTTTTAAAACATCTATTGTTGGGGTTACCGTCATTCACAAGTGATAGAGCAATTTAAAATAATATGCAGAATCTACTGTATGCTGTACCTAGTTTTTTTTTTTCCAGTTTCCAGACAATGTTTTCAGTTGAAAATGAAAAACTTTAAAGCTTTTCTACAGTTCATTTACAACAAGGGGACCCATTTTCTCTGTCAATAGCACAATGTGGGCACTTTTTCAAAAGCATAATCCTTTGAAAACATCAGCTTACAATGCCACATTGTCAAAAATTAATCATTCTTTTGAGGAAGTCCTGACACATACATAGCTAGAGTGGTCACATAAAAAAAATACAGAAAAGGAACATATAAGCAATAAAACAGTGGATTGCAGAGTACTGACTGTGCTGATTCTTTTTAATATTAAGATCATTGGAAATCAATTGCAAATCACAGAGCGTTGAACTTTAGGATTTATGTTCACACTTCAAACTTCATCACATAACAGTAGGGTTAACAAAATACTAAAATTTCAAACTCAATACTGTCACTGTAAAAAACTAGATTTTTTTCAATGTATTATTTCTTGAACATAATAACAATAATAGGAAAACCTTACCATATCACACGTTCAACTTTAGTTTTTATAATATGGGTCAAATTAAGTAGAGACAGTGTCTTTTAAGTAAAAAGGAGAAAAATATATGGAGGTCATTTCATTTGAAAAAAAAAAAAAAAAACATAGTAAAGTAAACACATGGAATGTTAACTGAGACCTAAAGTTACATAAAGTTATTTCTTGTTTTTTATTTCAGTGGTAAATTTTTACTGAGCATCTGTATATTTCTGTTTTTAATTTTTAATTCTGTCAGTTTTGGTCATGTATGAAACTCTCCTTTAGTAAAACTGCAACTTTAATGTCACTTTAACCTGCAAATCAGATTAATCCTTTATAGCACTCTTGGTTTAATTTTCCACATTATCACTCTGAACCTGCTCCTACAGAATCCACCAGGTCAACTAAGAGACAATCAGCAGAACTGTCCAGCAAACTGGGCAAACAACAGCAAGTTCCCAACAACAAACGTTCGGTTTTAGCTAATCAGGATGTCATGGGCAGTTCTAGTTGAAGGCCAAAAGGGGCCAGTGCTCCTCTAGAACTTGTCCTTGCCACTTTTATGGCCCATGTACTGAAGGAAAAATATTAAATCTATATATGGACCAACTAATTATGACATATGTTGTAGTTGATTGGTCCTTTACACCATTTTAATGTTTGTAGCTTTACTTTATTTAATTTATAAATGGGGGTATTGAACTTTTGGCTTAAGTTAAATCAAGATAGAATCACAGCTTTCCTCAGCTAAATCAGGGGCCTGCAATTTGCACCTTGAGGCTGAAGTGGCTCTTTATCTGCATGGCTTACATAGTGTTATCATTTGATTAATGATTCAATATTGCCCTGTTTCTTTAAGTTCATTCTTTTGCCTTGTACCTCAATAAAATAACACAGCCCCCCACCATCCCCTGGTAAATTTAACCTAAAGCCGCCACTACATGGTGTAAAAAGGAACAAACATCTTTGCTATCCAAAAATGCACAAAGACCTTCTTGCTGTTCCTATGAAATCCTTCGTTCTGACAAGTGTTTTCCTTCTGCACTGCTATGTTTATTTTGGTTGGGCTGTGGGGTCTGAACTTTGTGCTCTCTCTACATCTTCTGGCTTAAACCATGCTGTTGCAATGTAATTGGTTGTTTTCTGTCAGTATTAATAGTCGTGGCAAGAGCAGGCCAAAATGGATAATCATGTTTTTCGTGAGCAAAAATATCAGAGACTTCAGCTCTATTCTTCTTTGGATTTATGGGAAAGAAGACATTTCATCAATATCAGATAAAACTGGTTGTACAATAAAATGGTCCTAATATGCTTTATTTGATCATCAGTAAAAGTGGACATTTTACTCAAAATTAATTTTCTGTTAAAAAAAAAAACAAACAAACTGGAAACTAGTTCCCAGACAAAAGTCAAATCCCTCTGCCTCTTGTGTATTATTTAGCAGATTTAATGTCTGAGCCTTCTGTAAGCAGCCAGCTAGATTTGACCAAATTCTAGCGAAATAACACATACTCACATACTTATTTTTTTCTAATACACACAAATATAAGTTTAGTGCAGCTGCAATTCCAAGTTTGCCCCATACAGTGGCAGGGGATCTCTGAGGGTCTAATTAGAGCTGTTTGAATATTCTGTGAAGCCAGTCACTTTTGGCACAAACTAAAGCTCTGAAACTCAGCAAAACAAGCTAGAACTAAGGGGACAAGAGACAGGCTCTGTAACACCAGTGGTTGTTTGTGCTGTTCTCTGTTACTGTTGTGGCGTTCAGGAATCCCTTCCTCACACACAAGTCAACAGCTTTGAGTCTGGTTTTGGGTTCTGTAATGATGCACCATGAGACAACAGTAATTCAGCACCTGTCAGAGATTTTATTGACCTTGTTATGTTGTATTTAATCATTGCAGAGAATATGCTATCAAATGAAGGGGACAAATACAGAAAAAGTTGAAAACTGGTTGATTTGTTGTGTCATGTCTGGTGTGATTTACCTTTCATCAAAGCCGACTGCAAAGCAGGGCTTTTTCTATCAAAGTATCCCATATTTCCCTAAATATTTTAGAAAATGTTCTACTTCCAGACCTAGTTACATCATTTTGTTTTTAAAATGACTTGATATAAAATGATTACAAGTTTAGGTATACAAGTCCTTGAAGAGGAATTGCAGGAAAACATTTAAAACATGCATGGTGCCCAAATTCAGATTGTTTAGATTCTCTTATTTTCAGTTCCATGAATGATTCAAGATCAGTAGTATTTTTGCTATTTTAATCCAGTAAGGGCAGGAGATTAATTACAATTACCTGGACAGGCCTCTACTATCCTATGATAGCATCACAGGCAGAAGAAAGAGACTGATTCTTTACTCATACTTCTTTGTGTCGAATGTGACATCCAGTTCAAAAGCTTGTGATGCAACAGTCTTCACTTGATGCCTGCAGAACCCGTCTGTGCACCGCCTTTTATTTTGAAAATTAACACATGCGCTTTACTCTCCCTGTCTGTCTCCCTATGTGGGTCATCTGGTTTTAAGATACTGATGTATTTTGCTCCGTCCTGGACGATTGAAGTGAGCTGAGTGTCATGCTGTTATACAGCATATTGGGTAGGAATTATCACGCTAAGGAGAAAAGGTTCTATTTGGGAAGGAAGAGAGGTTTTTTGGATGATGGAATCTATGTGAACTAGGATTCAGACCTTGTATAAGCTTGGCTCCTGGGTCATATTACAAGAGAACACTTACCTCCCAAAGTACCAGTTAAGACTATGTTTTCTGTTCCATCTGTGTTTCCTAAAATGTGTGTTAAAGATCACCTAACATCCTGGCCAGTGGGCTGTTCCCCCCCATCAGTGCAGGTTGTTCAGTCGTAAATCCTCCCCAGCCAATCCAGGCTATGGCTTTGAAAGTATTTCTAAATTCTAAGCTATATTTTGAACTTTTAAGTAATATTTCATTGTACTTTATTTATTTAACCTTTATTTAACCAGGAAAAAATCCTATTGAGATTAAAAACCTCTTTTTCAAGGGAGTCCTGGCCAAGAGGCAGCTTCAAATTCTAGACTTTGATGATCTTACACTGAATTATTTTCTTAAAATTCAACCATTTGTGAGGGCATTATTCTTTTTGGAGAAAATATTTTAGATTTGGTTCAGTTCAAAAATAATTTATTAATTCCAATAGAAAATGAAATATGAATAACTAATATTAAAGGGATTCAATTAGTTCAATAGCTATAGGCAGGAAGGATCTACTGTAGTGGTGTACCTTATCTTTTGCAGCTGGTCTGGGAAAGCCTCTGACAGAAGACACTCTCTTGTTGATGCAGGTGGGGCAGTGGTTAGTGTGTGCGACCCACTTATGCAGGCTTTAGTCCTTTACACGGCTGACCCGGGTTCGAATCTGGCCGGTCCATTTCCGCATGGCTCTCTCATACCCCCTTTTCTCTCAGCCTACTGTCAGAAAAACGAGCCATTAGTGCCATTAAAACTCAAAAAAAAGAAAGCTGTTGGTTTTCTATAATAAGGCGGGGTGTTATTTTAATTACAAGAAGTTTTGATTTTATTTCTCAAGATGTAGAATCGATTATTTTCAGTATCCAATCCAATCCAATCCAATCCACTTTATTTATATAGCACGGTTTAAATAAACACAAGGTTTCCAAAGTGCTGCACAAAAAGATAAAATAACTAAAATAACAATTTGATCTATTCCAATCTGAAATTGGATTACTGGTATTAAAAACACTTTTTAGTTATTAACTAGATGACATGACTGTGTAGTTATGCAACATATTCATGCTAGTATTATATCAACATTAAATAGCCGATTAATAAAGCAATGGTAGTTAATGGCGGCTGTAAGTATAGTGGAAAATACATTTTTGATAAATTAATCTTGATCATACCAAGATCTTTAGGAATCTTTTAGGAATAATCATGAGAACCAATTTAGTATAAATATATTTTCTTCAACACAGCTCTAGTTCATAATGTTCCTCATTTTAGGAAGAGCTTTATAGCATTTTTTAAGTCGCACAATGTTTTTCCTTGTTTCTTTCAATAGAAAACAGTATCTAATTCACAGTTGTTTGTGTTATGTGATCTTTAACATATCATTTATTCACTTGACAGATTAAGGAGAGGCGCCACAACGAAAGCAGCAACTCCACATCTTGTGTTTTCATGGTTAACAAACCATACGCCCTCACCTGCTCTTCGGTGGCCTTCTACATCCCTCTGGTCCTCATGGTGCTGGCTTACCAGAGGATCTACATCACAGCTCGAGCCCACGCCCTGCAGATCAGCATGCTACAGAGAGCAGGTGGGGCTGGCGCTTGCACTCCTGGTACCTCAGGTTCCAGCCCAGGAGTGGGTGCGTCGTCAGAGTCTGCTGACCATCAACGCAACCACCGTATGCGGACAGAAACAAAAGCAGCAAAGACTCTATGCATCATTATGGGATGTTTTTGCCTCTGTTGGGCTCCGTTTTTTGTCACCAATGTGGTGGATCCATTTATAGGCTATACAGTTCCTGAACAGCTGTGGACCGCCTGCCTGTGGCTGGGTTACATAAACTCCATGCTGAACCCCATTCTCTACGCCTTCCTCAACAAATCCTTCCGCCGTGCCTTCCTCATCATCTTATGTTGTGGGAGGAAGAGGTATCGCAGGCCGTCCATTATGACATCTGCCACTACTTGCACAGCCACACAGATCAACGGTTCAACACATGTACTCAAGTAAGTTCTCTAAATCATTTTATTGTGCGATTTGAGTGCTGTGGCAGGGATTAATTTATAGAGTTACATTAAGGGATCTAGTTATTATAGAGCTCCATTATAACAAGGGTTTTTATCGCTTCCAAACATTAAAAAAAGTATTGCTGGAATCCATTTCAAAATAGTGAAACGGTCATACTTGGAATGTCAAAACATTGTAGATTCTCTAAAACTCAAGTTTTTAAAGATTGAATTAAATATTGACTCAAGGGTTGTTTCGATTATAGAAAATACTATAATAGAAAGCCTAAATATGAATTGTTTTCATGTTTTTGTGGTAGTATTTAATTGATGGGATAGAACTTGAACAAAAATATAATGTTTCACTTACCATACATCATGTTGTTATGCAAAAAGTAAAAATAAGTTATTTCTTCTGATCTTAAAATGGTTGTTATGGTTGACTTGGTTTTCAAATGGCAAGTAGGAGCTGTCCTCTATGAGAAGATAATGATTTCTCTCAGGTGTTATGTAGATGCCCTTATTTCCATAAACACCCCTCCTAGGCCCTATGGGTTTAAATTATCCCCGTATCATTAGTCTATGTTTCTATTACTGTGTGCTCATGTTTCACAGTGATAAGGACATTATGTTACACATACTCTGCTGTTGCCAGTTAAGTGGTTTTTTCCTGTCTTTATGTCTCAATAACAATCATATCTTTGTTCATGGAAGGCAGTGTGTCACTTTAGCCTTTTTTTCATGGCATCCTCATCCTCTTTATGCTGACAGAGATTAATGGCACATGTGATGTGTAGATGTGAAACAACAGTCACAAAAAGGCACTTTGTAACATTTGATCCCATCAAGGTTCTCAGCAATCTACTTTATCCACATTACACCATTTCTATAGCCCTTCATTTATTTATTTACTTTTTCTTTCTCCCATTATGCACTTTTAGGAGCTGTGTGGTAAATAAAATAAATTATTTGTGTCTTGGTGAATGTCATATTAACATACTGCATAATTCCCTGACAGGGTAAGATACGTCATGTATAAGCTCCATTTGGTTGAATTGTATCTAGTGCTAGCAGCCAGTGCATGTCGTCATGTCAACTGGTTCAAAACAATCAAATATCATTGACCAGTATTCCAACACTCATCACTTATATAGGGCATAATCCTTGTATTAACTATATTTATGTTGCCTGATCTGCTGATTTGATCATTTTCATATAGGAAAATATCACAGAAGAGGAGAAATGTGTAGGTTGTTTGTTGCATCTATATATTAAGGACATATCTGTACACTCCAGACAGTGGCTGTTGATTTCCATCCATGCTCTCTACCAAGTGGGATTACCTGTGTTACCTGGCAACACTGAATGTGATATCATCTATTCAGTTGTCGCCAAGCTGCAAACATTACACCCCAGTGCATTTGTGGCAATCCCAGCTGCCAGAATACCATGGTCATGCTTCACTTATATGTTCAGGGGAATATCTCACGTTCTGCTGCAGTTTTAATGGTTTTAGTGTCATGAAGTTGCTATTGATTATTATCTTCCCATAGTTATAAAAGTTCTGATAACTTTAATTTCACCTTTCAAGTTGGAGTTTTTCCTCCAGACATAAAAAAGAATATATGGTCTGAATGTTTTAGAAAATGTAAACATTTTTATTGTTCATTGATGGATAAATGCATCATAGATTAAATTGTAACTGTTGAAATGATAAACTTTTTAATTAAAGAAACATTTATAACAAAAAAAAACATAGTTGTAACTGTTTATGTCCAGTTAGCATTTGCTTATTTAAGGGTAGATTTTTTTTTTTTACATATATAATAGTTGGCTACTAATTATACGCATAAGGACTTTCTATATTTCAGACAGCATCTCTCTCCTTTACACTGATAAATAAGCAAGGCCAAAATGTCAAATTTCTGTATAATAATGTGCAGCCCAGTTATGGGAAATCTGACTTCTTGTTTAGAAAGGTGCTTTCATTTACTACCATTAATGGAAAACATAATTTCATTGTTGAGCCTTCATCACTGAAGAGCCCCTTGCAGCATAATATTTATCAGAGCTCCACCACTGAGAAAATATTTGACAGTGCTCATTGTTCTCCAACAAAGAAGGAAAAACAGTTGCGTGTTTAAGCTGTTTGAGACTTTAAATTTGTCACACTGGTCAGAGATCAGAGAAGATATTCAAAACTAAAGAAATGTTTTGTCTATGACATGTGGTATAACTTTCACTAATTTATCTCTCTTTTTATCCTGTCCTGTCCTTTTGTTGGAAATTCAAAAGTCCTATGACAACCCTATAGGGAGGTAGCTCTGTTCTGGAAACCATCTATCAAGGGTTTTATCCATCCATCTATTCATTTTCTGTCATGCTTATCCTAAGCGGGGTCACGAGGGGTGCTGGCGCCTATCTCCATCTGTCTACGGACGAGAGGCGGGGTACACCCTGGACAGGTCGCCAGTCCATCGCAGGGCAAGGGTTTTATCAAAGAATATAAAAATATGTTTAACCCAGTTTATATACCCAAACAAGATGAAAAAAATAGGAGTAATATTATCTGACCCTGTTATTTTCTAAAATATGTTTCAGATACAGTGTTTGGACAAACCTATAGTAATAATTAAAAAGCTTTAGAAAGAGTCTTTGGATTTCAGATGTGAGCTACATGAAGCACCCAAAGCAACAAGCACAGCGAATGTGTTCAGTATAGACAAACTCTTCCAGTTTAAAACTGTGTTTACCTTTAAGCTGTAGCAGCTTGTATAAGGAATATGCAAGCTACTAGTTCATTATCAGAACTAATTTCAAATAAAGATTCACTAATAAAATACCAAAACGTACCTAACTGGTTGTCATTTTTAAGTGACTGGTTACATAATCAAAATTGCAGAAAGTTTACTTTGCCTCATATAATTATGGTTTAATAATGTCACACCCCTTCAATGACACAAGGACGAAAAGAAATCAGCCAGATTAGGTCAATGGTTTCTGGTTGATTGTGCCACAATGGGGTAGTCCCGGTTTTAGTGTGGGAGAGCTTAGAGTGGGATATATTGGATCCAAAGGAAAACTTTCTGTTGGAAAGGCAAGCCCAACTGACTATCAAGTCTCATATTTAGAAAGAGCAGCATTGCTTTTGTTCAGCTTTGGAACAGTGGACTAGATCTTTATTAAATTAATTTCAACCTGAAAGAAATCATACACAAGATGACGAGCAGTTTGGAAGTTTTATTAACATGAGAAACAGTCTTTGGTCCTCAGGATCTGGTGGAAGACGCAGACATTTAGAATTAAAGAAGATATTCTTAGGCAGATTAATAAGGGTGGCTATAGTTGTGCTTGAAAGTTCACACACCCTCCCATTAGAGAAAATGATAAATTCACTCTAGTAATTCAAATGACACAAAGCCTAAAAAAGTAATAATAAATAAAATAATAAATAAAAATATGTTTTATTTAATTTTTATTTGATAATTGATTTGATTTAGATTTTTTTGTTTAAAACGAGGCATGTAAATGTTCAAGCAAAACTACATCGACAAGAGTGTAAAAGCTTTAATTGCCATACTTCTCAAGGCTTCTGCTGATATTTAGTTTGTACCTGTTTGGCTTAAACCAAATTAGTGAGGCCAATAGGTGTCATTTCACTGGGATAGTTCTGCTGAATGTCTCAGCTTCCTCCAAATGCATTAGATTGGAGCAGTCCCAGATAAATATTATGTAGAACTAAACCTGGTACACATTATTAGTCTGGTTTGCCAAGTTAGACAAGCTTGTATTTCTAAGTTTATCTATTTTCTATAACTTGGGAGAACGGTCGCCTAGGGGTTAGAGCATTGAGCTTCAGTCCTGGAGGGTCCCGGGTTCAAGTCCCTCTCACTCCCGAAGTCTGCCACTCTGGGTTCCTGAGCAAGACCCTTAACCCCACACTGCTACATGGGCGTCACACAGTGGCACCCTACTGCTCCCCAATGGGATGGGTTAAATGCAGAGAGGGAATTTCCTCATTGTGGGACAATAAAGTAAATATAGACAGATTTTATTTGTCATTTTGTTTTCACAAGTGTAAAAACAAAAATAAATTTAGTTTGGAAACAGCTCACTGGACAATTTCATCTTTTAAAAGTGCAGCCTTGAAAAATAGTAAAAATGACAGTAAATTTACAGTTCTAACAATTTTAATTGCATTTTCATTTGAAACTTGTCATTGACCTAATGGTTTCTGGCTGGTCTTTATTAAAAATAAAATAGAATGGATCCTGCTTGGGATGGCAAGAAACAAAAATCAGGTTTTGAAATTTTTATTTTAACAGTTGATGTCAGATTAATGTTAAACAAGTAGATTAAAATGTAAAACACATCGTTTACTTATCATCCTAAGTTGTAGCTGTCTGTTTCCTTTTCTGTATTCAGATAATTCTAGGCACCCAAAAAACACTGAGTGAAAAGCAGCAGGCATTTAATAAAAACTAGAATATTTAAGTAGAATTTCTGACGCTAAAGGAAAGTTTATATGGGAAGAATGAGAAGCAAAACAGATGATGAAACAATTGTAAGGGTCAGCAAGGAACATCAAGCATTGCTTCATATTATCAGACTCTGTTGATAAAAGGAACAGGTTCATTGTCAATCAGTAGCAGAACTTGAAAAATCTGAAGGGAATAAGCAAAAAGACAAACTGAAGAGACTGACAGACAAGTTACCTCAATATAAAAACATGAAATAAATAATAATACAAAGGCATAGCCAATGAAACTAAGTTGAAGCTTTCAGCACTATACAATTCCATAGACCATTACACCATCCTCTCTTTTGTCCCACACGAACATCACGACTCATCAAATGAAAACCCATTAAAGTGAAAGAAAATGATTATACTATTTCCTGTGCTTTGAAATGTGGAATCTCAGAAAGGGGGGATTGCCTGGGGCAGCTTTAAAAAAACAGGAAAAAAAAGAACTTTTTGTCTAAAGGCTCAGTCAGACGGC